CTTTGCTTCCCTCCTCAATAGCCTGGCAAATCTGACACAGATCTCAAGAGATTTTCTATAGGCTCTGTCTTGGACCCTCTTCTCTATTCCTTCTCCGTTGGTGATCTCTTTATCTCCCATGGATGCAATTACCGTGCCTATGGAGATGACCTCCATATTTATACCACCAGATTAATCTCTCTCTAGAACTCCAGTCTTGCATTACCAACTCTCCATTGGATGTCTCTACCTGGATGTATCCCACAGGTATCTCAAATTCAACACGGTGCAAAATGGAATTGGTTACATTTCCTTCCCACCCCCAAACTCATCCCTTCTCCAAACTTGCCTCTTTCTGCTGAGGGTGTCACTACCCTTCTGGCCACCCAGTTTTGCAACTTTGGAGTCATTCTCTCTCTCATTTCCCACTTTTGATCTTGCCAAATCTTACTGATTCTACCTACACAGTATCTCTTGTACCCATTACTTTGTCCCTAGCCACTATTCTCACTCATCCACCACTTGTCTGGCAGTAACATCCTGATTAGTCTTTCTCCTGTCCAATCTAGTCTCTACCAATTGGTACTGCTAAAACACAGATCTTTCCACATCATTCTCCTACTTAAAAGTTTTCAGTGGGTTTCTATTGCTTCTAGGATAAAATAAAAATCCTTAGCCTGGTATTTAGAGTTCTCTGTTATAGAGGTGTCAAAACACATGGTCTGAAGGCCCAAGCAGCCCCATAACACTTGGGAGTGAGGCCAAAACCACATTAAGATGAATTGGGAAATATTTAACAAATCAAGATGCAATGAACATAGATAACATTACATTTTAAGTCAATATGCAGCTGCCCTATGGATTAGCAGTCCCAGTTCTAGTTGATTTTAACATCACTATTCTAGAATATGGCTCCTGCCTCCCTTTGCCGACATTTCTTATGGTATCATTTACCTTCCTGTACTCTCTATTTTAGCCAAACATATAACACGCTAGCTTTTCTCTGTACCTGACTTTACATTTCCCACCTCAGTGTTTGCTTACGTGACCCTTCCCCCATGCATCCCTTCAAAGTCTATCTTAGGTTCAACCTCCTACATGAGACATTTCCTGATCCCCCTCAGTTATTAGTGTTTTATGTGTTTTCCAGTGGTTTTTGTTGTATGACTCTTCATGACCCCATTTGGGGTTTTCTTGGCAAAGACACCAGAGTGGTTTGTCATTTCCTTCTCCAGCTCATTTTACAGATGAAGAAACTGAGGCAAACAGGGTTAAGTGACACACCCAGGGTCACACAGCTAGTAAGTGTCTACGGCCAGACTTGAACTCAAGAAGATGAGTCTTCCTGACTTCAGGCCTGGCCCCTCTATCCATTGAGCCACTTTGTGTGATTTCTGTGGGCTGCATGTGCCACCCTGTATGGATGTATATGACATTTGAAATATGGTCGTTGCAGTAGCGGTATACAATAGCCTATATAATCTTTAAACCTAAGGAAAGGTGGTCTTTCAAGTATTAATTACCCGGAGAAGGAGTGTGATATCTTAGTTGTCCACCAAGGGGCACTGTATTCAAGCCACCAGCCAAGTGGTGGCCTCATTGTTTCTCTGGAGGGAATGTCTGATAGTTTCCCACATCACAAAATCCATGCTAGCAGAATTCTGAACATAGAAGGGGGGATAATAAAATATTGCTCAGGGTTATTTATAAAAGAGGGAAATCTCTGCTCACATCACCCTGTATCTGGGCTTTTCTTCCTTTGTCTCACGATCCCACTTTTTAAAAAGCTTTTACAGAGGGATGTTTACTTTTCAGATATTGCAGTGACAGGGGCACAAGTTCCCTTTCACCCCAACATTTCGGGACATATACAGTCTGCAAGGCACAGAAGGAAGTAGGGACCTGAAAAGCTAAGCAGAAACAATGGGGCACAGCTTCCCCAGGCCTTAATAATCTAAACCACAAAGAATGGGCCACCCACAAAGGAGGAAACTAAAAGGAGAGATTGAAAGAAAAAGTAAAAGGAAGACCATGGGCTCTTCCTTCCCTCCCCCAGTCCCCCAGATCCATAAACTCCTTCCTATACCACCTTAGTCTCTAAGTTGAGTGGGCTCAGATAATGCACATGCATAGCATTGGTCCCACCAAGTTCATATCCAGATGCAGCATTGCATCGCTGCTGGAGGAACCTTTGTGGTAGCTATGCCTGGGGCTAGGTCCTGAATGTCATTACTTGGGACCTCAAAGTTGAAGTAGCTGGTTGCAAACCCCCAAACAGAGTCAACTCCCTGGCCTACTGGCAGTTCACTCACCTGGCCTTTCAAAATTCATGAGGTCAGAGCCTCCAAGAGTCCAGGCCACTGTTTAAGGGCCACGTCTCTGCCCAAGGTCTCTCTCTTTATAGAGTGATCTCTCACCAGAATGTCTGCAGGCAGAAAGAGGACAAATCAAAGAGAATCTGACTGTACCCATTCACAGAACACAAGCAGTCCTACTGTAGCCACAAAGTTTATTAGGCAAGGGCCAGGTAGGTAAAGAAGTGCTCTACAAGCCAAACTGGATTTTATATTTGATTGGGGAGGTAATAGGGAGCCACTGGTGTTTACTGAATGAGAGCAGGTTGACATGATCTCACTGGGACCCCTAGATGAGATGGCACTAAAAACACTAAATTAATATTTAATTATGTGTACATATCTTGTTTTGCCTCTTCCTTCTTCAGTAGAATATAAACTCTTTGAGGGCAGAGACATTTTATTTTTGTTTTTGTATCCTGATAACATAGCATAGTGCCTTACACAAAGTACTGAAGAAATGGGGTAAGGGGGTATTGTTAGATATATAAATAATTTGAAAGATACAGTTTAAAATACTTAGGTTTGAGACCAGCCTTGACAATTAATAGATATTAGATATCTATTATATCTTAGATATCTAAGATATTAGAGTTTTATGGGATCTTAGAAATTATCGATTCAAACCTCATCATTTTACAGATGAGAACTAAGATTCAGAATGTCATATAATGACACAGTATTTGAATTGGAAGTGACCCCAATAGCCATATACTCAAACCCATACTCAAAGAGTCCCTGTCATACATACTCAAATGGTCATCCAGCCTGTACCCAAAGACTTCAGTCCATTCCACTTACTGATAACTAATTGTAAATAGTCATTTTTTTTCCTGGTTTTCAGCTGGAATTTTCCTCTGCCAATTCCATACACTGCTGTCTATTTTTTCCTGAGTGAACTAAAATAACACGTCTAATCCTCTCCTTCTTGATAACCCTTTAAAATTTAAAGTTTAAAAACTTGTGAAGTCACAAGTGACTTGCCCAAAGTCACACAAGGAACGGTAAATGCATGGTAAAGCAGGAATTGAAGCACGTGATATAGTGACAAGTACAACCGATTCAGAGTCAAAGCATCTGAGTTGAAAGCTCAGCTCTGTTATTTCCTACCTATATGATGTTGAGTGAATCACTGAACTCTTGTGAACCTGTTTCCTCAAATGAAGTCTCTAATGTCCCTTCCTACTCTAAATCCAAATCTAGTGCCATTTATGCTATACTACTGGATCTGTGATTCTGATCATATATAATCTCTTTGTTTTGTTTTAGAGGCAGTCGAGGTTAAGTGACTTGCCCAAGGTCACACAGCTAGTAAGAGGGTCTGAGGCTGGATTTGAACTCAGGTGCTCCTGACTCCAGAGCCAGTGCTCTATCCACTGTGCCACCTAGCTGCCCCCATACAATCTCTTTGAGTCTGTTTGCACATATGTAAAATGGGAATAATCCTTGTACCATCTATCTTGGAAGGTGGTGGTGAGGAAAGTGCTCTGTAAACATTTAAAGTACTTTTGAAATGTGAGTAGTTATTACTTCAATGGGTCTATGTGCTCATCCCAATTTGGATACTCCTGGCAATGTTGTGGATCTCAACCTATCTGCAGCTTCTCACTCTGTGTGTTTCTTGGCAGCATCCATCTATAAAATCTTCACATAAGTTCGATCCAACATGCCTGAAGCTTTCTTCTAGATTTTTTCATGGTTTGTGGGTGCCTGGGAAGCAGCTGGGGCTGTCCATCTGTCATTTGTTTCACTTGCAAGGTGGCCAGCTCACCTCCTCTTCGGATCATATATTGTGTTATCCCTCTAAGCCACTTGCATGTAAGTCACTGTTGGTAACTGGCTGCAACCTATTTATACCCTCCATGAGTCAAACATTTTCTTTTTTAAAAAGTTTTTTTTTTGAAATACATATTTTCTTGTTGCTTAAAAAAAAAAAAGACACATCATTCTAACTGCCCCAGAAAAGTCTCCTTTATAACAAAGAATCACAGGTAAGGAAGAGAAACCCATACTTAGAATCTGGACTCACCTGACAGCCTATGCCTCCTTCTGCATCTGTGTTCCACCACCTCTCACACCAGAGGGCAAAGGTCGCTCACTCCCTACATTGTGTTCCCCTTCCTTACTGGGATGTCATCTCCACTGGGGCATAACTGTCTTTTTGCCTTTGTATCCCCAGAACCTTAGAGTGTACTACAAGTAGTCAGCATTTAGTCAGGACTTTTTCATTTATTCAATCCCTCATTTCAAGTTTGATCATGCATTGTGTTCTAATTTGTTTCATTGCTGTATTTCTTTACATTTCTTATGGACGGAGAAGCTGTCCAGAGCCGGTTCGGGTTCCCCAGGTACATCTTGGGCCTGCCTATTTACGAGGGATGGGACTGAGGTCATTTTGATGAGCAGCTTCTCCCCACTCGATGGGGACCGTTTTCATGAGGTCAAGTTTCAGCCCTGCGCAAAGTGCCTCTTTAAAAGATTGTCGAGTCCCAGGCAAGCAGCGAACAAGAAGCCAGCCCATCCCAGCCCGAGCCAACCTATGGGTAGCGAGCACGGGATCTCCGCTGGCCACTCCTCTTCGGCCTAGCCAAGGGCGATCCGCGCCCCGCCTTCATAAACGGAAAGTTTCCAGGGGCAGCACTCTCATTGGCTAGCTGTGGCTCTCCCCGCAAGAGGCTGGTCGACGTGGAGCGGGTGCGGAAGCCACGCGTGCTACGTAGCAAGCACCTAGCTGCTTCCGAGGAGCGGGGCACTGTGTGTAGCTTTCGGTCTACGTCGCCGATCCCTGAGAAAGGTGGGGACAGTCTTCGTTTGGGGAAGACCGTCAGGGCGCCGGGGGATGCTGAGTGGGCCCCAGGCTAAGGGGCTGCCGTAGCCTCTGCAGTCTCCGCACACGCTCCCCCCGGTCCCTTAGGCTGTCCATCATCGGATATTCCCCACCCGGTTTGGGTTCAGTTACTTCAGCTCCTTGTGGTGGAAAGAGCACCTGGCTCCTCTTCCCTCCTCTGCCATTTAGCTCTTTAGAGACTCAGTTTCTTCATCTGTAAAAATGAAGGAGCAGGACTAGAGAGTGGAAAGAGTACTGGTGTTAAGTCAAGAGACTTAAGACAAGAGACGTCTGAGGCCAACTGCCTGTACGACTCTGGACCAGTCACTTTATCTTCCTGGGCCTCAGTTTCCTCACCTATAAAACGGGACGGTTGAAATCAGTGGCTTTTGAAGTCCCTTTCGATTGTACGAATGATCTCAAAAGCCCCCTTCCTACTTCTAATATAATGACATCGATAACGTATTGTATACCTCGATGTGTAGGCTCATTCTGTATACAAGGAGAAAGCCTTGTACAACCTTTGCATTACTTCAGAGACAATTTTTCATTAAAGAATTTATCTGACAGTACTTTTCTTGCCTCTCTGGCATATCAGAATATTGTTGTGCCATTGTGTTAGACTCTTCATGACCCCGTTTGGGGTTTTCTTGGGAAAGATACTGGAGTGGTTTGCCATTTCTATCTCCAGCTCATTTTATAGATGAGGAAATGAGGCAATCAGGGTTAAATGACTTGTCCAGGGTCACACAGCTATTTAGTATTTGAGGCCAGATTTGAACTCAAGGAGGAAGTGAAGCTAAAGTGCTAGGACTTTAGAATTTTGTGTGCACAGAGACCAAGTTTCCCCAGGAGTGGAAGCATTAGTTAGTTTTCCGAGAAACTGGTCTCAATGAGATTCCGTGCAAAATCTGCTTTGAAGCTTGTCCGTTGCAATTTGGACAGTTTAAGGCATGAGATACTAAGCAAGATTTTTAAAAATGATAGTACATGTACCATGATGTCCTATATTGCTGGGGGTTCTTGTGTTTTAGGATAAGCCAAAACTCAAAAACCATTCTGTAAGAGAAGAAATGGAGACAGCTTCAGGGGTAAAGACAGTGTGATGGTCTGTTATAGTAATGCCTCTTTCTCACTCTCTGGGCTGGTCAGCATAAATTGAACAAACATTGATTTAAGCACTTATGTGCCAAGAACCAGGATACAAAGAGGGCAGGGATGGGCTCTGGACCTCTGATTTCACCAGCATGGGAGATTTTGAAAAAAGAAACTTCCACTCTCAGTGCAGGTTGGTGCCTTCTCTACAATGTAAAAGTCTTCAAGAGTAGCCCGCTGGAGTGATGTGTAGTAGACCAAGTGGCTTGTCCAGAGACACATAGACAGTGTCAGAGGCTGGACGTGAAATGAGATATTCCTAGGTCCAAGCTCAGCTCTCTATCCATCATACCACTCTGCCTCCTTGTGGTTGTTGTTTGTCCTTCGTTCTCGAAGAGGAACATGAGATCAGGGAGGTGATGCCATGACGTGTAAGTGAATTGGATTTAAGTGAGGAGGGGCTGTGCAAGGTCACCAGTCTCACTCTCTCCTCTGGAGCCATCTGGGTCATGATCTTTCAAAAGTATGTGTAGAACAAAAGAAATTGCATCTAACTTGTAGTCTAGGGCCCTAGATTCTTATTCTGTTTTTTGCTGTTTGCTACTTGTGTGCCCTTGGGGAAGGCCCTTAAATTCCTTGGATCTCAGTTTCCTCTTGTGTAAAACCAAGGGGTTGTACTACAGCAGGTGCAAGGTCAATTCTAACCCTAAGTTGTGGAGTCTTGGACTTATGTTAACATATAAAGAGAAAGCCAAACTCAAAGGAAATGGACAGAGAAAAGAAGAGCATTAGTATCATAGAATGTCACAGTGAGAAGGACCCTGAGAAGTGACCAGTCCAACTCCTTTTTTTTACTGTTGAGAAAATTAAGGCCCGGAGATGGGCAGTGACTTGTTTCTCTTAACATGGCAGGAGAGGCCTCAGCCCAAAAGCAGGAACCCCTTGGGGAGGAATTCCCAGGGCGTTGGAGGATAGAGAGCAAGAGGTACAAAGAGGGTTAATGGCATTGGCTTGGACCAAAGGAACCTTGTATGATCAGCTGCTGGCCCAGTTAGAATGACTTATCTTGAAGCTTATCTGCAGACTTCATATGAAAAATGGCTTATCATACTTCTTCCTTTCTCAGTGCTTAGGGGATAGGGTGGAGGGAGGGAGAGAATTTGGAACTGAAAAATTAAAAAAGTTTAAAAAGAAAATAAAAGAAATGTATCTGCCAATTCAAACCTAAATCAACAAATCTTTTTTTTTTTAAACTAATGACTGCTCTACCACTACTTGTGGGTTTATTCTTTCTTGATAGATATAGGGGAGGAGAGTCTGAGGAATAAATATACTGGAGCTGGTTGCTTCAGGCAAGAGGGAGGATCTGTTCTCACACATATACCCTGCCATAACCTTTTTTTGTTTGTTTCTTAATGAAAAGCCTTGTTCTGGGCAGAACTGATCCCCTTTGTGTTCTTTAGGCCGTTAATAATAATAGAAAGTTAGACATGCAACGGACCTTCAAGATTGTGTAGTCCAACACCCTCCTTTTTAATAAATAAGGATACTGAGGTCCATTTGCTCAATAATAACTAACATTATGAGATGAACGTGTAGGCCTGTCAGCTTCTCTGTGATAATTTCTTCCTTTTCCTAGGCCTCCATTTCCTCACCTGTAAAATGAGACAGTTGGATGAGATGACCTCCAAGGCCCCCACCAGCTCTCCTCTGGTGATATTGTGATCTCACATTTCTGTGGTGCTTTCAGGTTTATAACGCATCCTCCTCACGGGAACCCTGGTTGTTTCCATGGGGTTACTGAAGCAAATACAACAGCCTTGTTCCTGATTCCCTAATAAATTATGGACTCTGGAGGCCCCTACTCTTATTCACAGGGGCAGGGTACCAGGTAGAGTCCTTAGAACACTTGATTTATAGATAAGATACCCAGGTTTTATTGACTATTCCAGACTAGCTGTGACCTTGGTGGCATCATGGATGAAGTATGGGGCTGGGAGTCGGGATAACCCAAGTTCAAATCTGGACTGAGACATTTACTAGTTGTGTGGACCTGGGCAAGTTACTTAACCACTGTTTGCCTCAGTTTCCTCTTCTGTAAAATAGTGATAATAATAGCAACTACCACCCAAGGTTGTTGTGAAGATCAAATGAGATACTAATTGTAAATACTTAGCCAGACACGTAGTAAGCATTATATAATTGTTAGCAATTATTGAGCAAATGACAACCTCTCTGGACCTCAGTTTCCTTATTTATAAAAAGGAGGGTGTTGAACTACACAATCTTGAAGGTCCTTTGCAGTTCTAACTTTATATTATTATTATTATTATTGTTATTTTTAGGCAATTGGGGTTAAGGACTTGCCCAGGGTCACACAGCTAGTGAATGTTAGGTCTGAGGCCGGATTTGAACTCAGGTCCTCCTGACTTCAGGGCCAGTGCTTTATTCACTGTGCCACCTAGCTGCCCCAACTTTCTTTTATTATTAACTGCCTAAAGACACAAAGGGGGTCAATTATTATTAGGGTTGTAGAAGTGATAGCTGTATGGACTCTAGTCCAACAGGATCCTGAGGTCCAGAGAGGAACAATTTACCTAGGGTCACATACGTCACATACAGTGAGTGGCAGAGCTAGGATTCATATCCTCTGGCCCCAAATCCAATTCTCTTTCCACTGTCTCATGATCCATGCTATTAATGATATCGATTAGAGAATTATCCATTTGACACCTAGAAGGACCTCAGAGGTCATCTGGTCCACTCCCCTCATTTTACAGTTGGGGAAACTGAGACTTAGAGGAGTTAAGTGACTTGCCCAGCATTACACAGTTTGTTAAGTGACAGAGTTGGAGTATCAAATTCCTGTCATCTGACCCCAAATTCAGGGCTTTTCCTCCAAGATCCACAGATCCTTTAACTTCGCCCTCTCAAAGAAAATAGCATAGTAGCAAGTGGCAGCTAGGTAGCTCAGTGGATAGAGAGCCAGGCCTGGAGTCAGGAAGACCTGAGTTCAAATTCAGCCTCAGACACTTAGCAAGCTGTGTGACCCTGGACAAGGGACTTAACCTCTGTTTGCCTTAATCCATTGGAGAAGGAAATAGCAAACCACTTCAGTGTGGTCTATGGGGTGTCTAAGAGTCAGACACACTGAATGGTTGAACAACAAAAAAAACAGTAGGCCCAAAGGGAAAAAGCATGTCACCTGAGAGTGACCATGCAGAAAAGTCAAGGTTTGTTTTTTTAATCCCTTTCATTTTTCATCTGAGTCATTGCAACCCAAGGCAGTATAGGTTTCCTGGGCAAAATTTCAGGTGCTGACTCAGGATTTATAAAAAGCTACAGTTATTCACTAACCAGTTTTAAGCTGAAATGAACTTAGTGTTATCTCAACAAAGTCCAAATGGACTCTCTGTGTTTGCCTGCCACCAGAACATCAGAATGAAAGCTCAGGCAGCCATTCAAATATTTGGAAATAGCCAGATGACTGCAGGACTTTTTTTTACTTGTATCCAGCTTTTTGACATTCAGGAGACCAGGAGGTGGCAACCTATTTGAAATGGCATGCCAGGCTTTCATGGACTTGGTTCCTTCTGGGAGATGGACTAGGGAAATGGTGGTGGTTGGGTAGAGTCAGCAGAAAGGATGCTGATGCAGCCTGTCATCAGCCCCCGGGCAGAGGCAGGCTTGGGAGCACCCCAGGAGGCCGAGGTGATGGGGGGTGGGGAATAGAAGGGGACAATGGCTCTTCTCCCCTGCTCTTAGCCAGATCCTGGAGCTGCCATTTAAAATGCAGATAGGGATGAGAAGGTTAACCCCCTTAGCTCTTCTGTCCTGTTAAATAGGGCTTATCAGGAACTTCAGAATTGAAGGGACCTCAGAAGGCTCTCTTATCCAACCCATGTGCCATAAGGAATCCCTCTGCCAACACCGGAGAAGCCACCATCCAGCTTTTGCTTGAAAAACTTTGATAAGGGGAGCCTACCACTGCCTTTTCGGTTTGAGAGAGCTCTAACCTTTAGAGCACCCAGAGCAGCTAGGTGGCGCAGTGGATAGTGGATAGAGTACCAGGCCTGGAGTCAGGAATACTCATCTCCCTGAGTTCAAATCTGACCTCAGACACTTACTAGCCGTGTGACCCTGGACGAGTCACTTAACTCTGTTTATTTCAGTTCCTCATCTGTCAAATGAGCTAGAGAAGGAAATGGCAAACCACTCTAGTATCTTTGCCAAGAAAACCACAAATGGGATCACAAAGCGTCGGACATGACTAAAACAACTGAATAATAAGAAATCTTTAGAAGGAGGCAGCTTAGTAGCTCGGTTGATAACATGCTGGGCCTGCAGTCAGGAAGACCTGAGTTCTAATCTGGCCTCGGATACTTACTAGCAGTGTGACCCTGGGCAAGTCACTTAACCTCTGTTTGCCTTAATCCTCTGGACAAGGAAATGGCCAACCACCCTGGTATCTATGCCAAGAGATGCCTGTGGACAGTATGGTCCACAGCATCTCAAAAAGTTGGACATGATTGAACAACAGTTTTTAGAAGGTGATTCTTTACATCAATCCTAAACCTACCTTCTGGGAGCCTTCATCTGCTTGCTGTGATATCTCTCCTTAGCAAACCCCCCAAAAGTCTAATCCTTCTTCCCTATGACAGACTTTTAGGTACTCAGCTAGAGTTTTTCATTGCTCCCCTCACTGAACACCAAAGGTTAACTTTTCAACCACTCTTCTGATTTGTCTAGTCAGGATCTTTTTTTTTTTTTTTGGCTAGGCAATGAGATTAAGTGACTTGCCCAGGGTCACACAGCTAGTAAGTGTTATGTGTCTGAGGCTGGCTTTAAATTCAGGTCCTCCTGAATCCAAGGCTGGTGCTCTATCCACTGCGCCACCTAGCTGCCCCTAGTCAGGATCTTAAAATACAAGTTTGTCACGTGCCTGGAGTTGGATGGGGGTGGAAACCTTGTTGGATACCTTTCATTATACCTGAGACAAGAGCATTAAATAAAACAAGAAGACTTCAGAAAGGAAGTAATTTTGGGAGGTTGCTGGCTAAGGTATAGAGGCACAGATTTTGTCTATGACATATTGTCTCTGTCTCTTTCCATGACTGTCAGAGGAGCTGCTAAGAATCAGTTGAACCAGCCCCTTCAACTCAGAAGGGACCTTTGAGATGACCTGGTCCAGCTTCCTCATTCTCCAAGGACGAAACTTGGTTCTAGGGAAGTGAAAATACTTGATCCAAGCTCCCGTAGTCGGGAGGTGGAAGAAGAGGGGGCCCCCCAAATCTAGCTTTTCTGACTCCTAAGCCTTCATGCTTTCCTCTAATCTTAGACACACATGGCTTAACTTCCAGGCCTCTGTTGTAAATACAGCCACTGCTGGACCCTGAAGCTCTAGGCAGAAGGTTTGTTTGCTCAGTTAATCTTTGAGGATTTTTCACAATAGAGTTCTTTGCTCACATTTTATCCTGTCCTGGAGAGGAATGTGAAATTGGATTGGGTAGGGGAAGGGAGAATGTAACAGCAGGTACAAGTGATAAGACAGAGAGGTGTGATGGCGGGAACCAGGTGTGGGTACATGGGAAACAATGTCCTTGGCCCATCCACTGCCATCTTGAAGTGTCTCCTTTATTGCCACTCTATGTAATCAGCTCTGTTTTAAAATTTTATTCTCTAACCTTCCCCCTCACGTCCTGGAAGAGTCCCACAACTTTAGTTTTAGGGGTTTCTAAAGATGTTTGGGTGGATGGAATAAGCATTTCTCAAGTGCTTAACTCTATCCTTGGTTAACCAGTCAACCATGCCCACTCTGTTCCCAGCCCTGTGCTCAGGGTGGTAGAAAAAGCAAGATATGGTTCCAAGGAAGGGTCCTATGTGCCAGGTATTATGTGAAGCACTCTCCAGATATCACATTTGATCTTCACAAGAAGCGTAAGAGGTAGGTGCTATTATTATCCCATTTTACAGTTGAGGAAACTGAGGCAAACAAATTGTTGTTCAGTACTTTCAGTCATGTCCCACTCTTTACGACCCCTTTTTAGGAGTCTCTTTTTTTTCTTTTTTCTTGTTTTAGGCCATTGGGATTAAGTGACTTGTCCAGGGTCACACAGCTAGTAAGTGTGAAGTGTTTGGTTTGAGGCTGGATTTGAACTCAGGTCCTCCTGACTTCAGGGCTGGTGCTTTATCCGCTGTGCCACCTAGCTGCCCAAAACCTTTTTTTTTTTTTGAGACAGTGTTAAGTGACTTGTTCAAGGTCATTCATTGGGAGTTCCTTGACAAAGAAACCAGAGTGATTTGCCATTTCCTTCTCTAGCTCGTTTCACAGATGAGGAAACTGAGGCAAGCAGGATTAAGTGACTTGCTCAGGGTCCTATAGCTAATGAGTATCTGAGGCTGAATTTGAACTCAGGCTTTTTCAGCTTTAGGCCCAGTGTTCTATCCACGGTGCCATCTCACTGCCTCTGACTTTGTAAGTTAAGAAATGCTTTAAGTTAAAAAGCTTATTAATTTGGACTTTTGTTATCATCTTGTCTTTTATTACATTTCTTCTTTTCTTTCTTCAGCTCTCAGAAGGAAGAACCACAAATGAGTGCAAAGGGGAGGTTTGGGGTTTTTTTAAAGAACTTTTAAAAGTTGTTTTTTAATGTAGTATAACTGCATTTCCTTTCTCCAACTTCCTTTTCTGCTTGACCTCCGCCCCTCATCGTTTTCACCAGCTGTACCATATGCCAGTCTTTCCCTTCACTCCCCCTCCCCTTCTGTGGTCTGTATCGCTTTATCACATGAGAAAGAAAAAAATCTCCTGTTTTCCATCCTCCCAAAGTTTATCTGTTCCTGTCTAGCTTCATTTATCTACGGCAGCCATACCCAGAGTTACCTCTTCTGAGGGAAGCAGCTGTTTGGGGCTTTTTTGGGGGGAAGTTTTTGTGCCCATTACAACAGCCTTTATTTTTCTACTTTGTCTTCTCAGACTCTGCTGCTCAATCCCAGCCTTCAGCGACGTAGCCCAGCACAGTCCTGATGACTTCGTCTAAGACCCAGGTAAGCCCGTGAGCATGCCCAGGCTCAAGGGAAATGTCCTTTCTTGTTGGTGGGGTGCCAGCGAAATGGTATCTGAGAACTTTTCCTCCTCTGTTACCGTTCTCTCTGTCTTTTGACAGGGCTTAACCTTCTCTTCTGATGTGTCCTTGTTTTCAGAAATAACCCTTCTTTCCCCCACTTTAATGCTAACCTGAGAGGCACCATGGGATAGTGGGTAGAAAACTGGTCTGACAATTCCGAAGGACTTAGGATGAAAAGTGCTATCCATCTCCAGAGAAAGAACTGATGGAGTCTGAATGCAGATTGAAGCAAACATTTTTAGTTTATTTTTCTTGTTTTTTTGGGGGGGGAGGGGGTATGTTTTTCTTTCACAACAGACTGATACGGAAATATGTTTTGCATGACTGCCCATGTATAACGTGTATTAAATTTCTTGCCTTCTCAGTGATGGGGGAGGGAGAGGATTTGCAACTCAAATTTTTAAAAAATGAATAGTAAAAATTGTTTTTACATGTATTGGGAAAAAATAAAATATTAAATAAAAAGAAAAAAAAAAGGAAGCTGATCTGAAAGTCAGGAAGACCCAAGTTCAGGATCTACCTCTGATACATACTAGCTGTGTGACCCTGTACAAGTCATTTAACCTTTTAGGGCCCTAGCGCTCTGAGATTACAAATTGCAGAGGAGGCGCCAGCCTGTGTTGGTGCAGGGAGTTTCATCATCTGGGAATTTCTTATGCCAGTGAAATCACAGGTTCAGTCCCAAGTCTCCATCCTTGGTTAACCAGTCAACCATCCTGATTTCTTACCTATTTTGTGCCTAGCAATGTGCTCAGGACCATGGAAAAGGCAAGACATGGTTCCTAGCAGGGCCCAACCCTAGGATAAGTGTGAAGTATGTCTTGCAACTCCTGCTAATCTCCCTTTTCAAGCTCCTTCTGCCTTGTACCATTCACTCACCAGCTTCAGATAGATCTGATGTACTTCTCTTCCCTCCCCCTGCCCCCCTGGCCCACCTTGCTTCTTGTTTTGAGATCAGTTACTTACACCTTAGTGCGAATCAGTCACTGGCATTTACACCTTAGCTCCAGCTGGGAAATAAAAGACTTGTTATCCCCCCCCCTCCCCCGCAAAGGAGGTAGAGGAATCAGGTTTAGGGAAGGAAGGACCTTCCTAAGCTTTTTACACTTTGCCCCCTAAGTTTGGCCCTGTCCCTGCCTGCTTTGTTTAGGACTGTCAAGAAATAGAAACATACTAGTGAGATTCTGCATGTTTGAAAGGGAGTAAGTTTGTCAGGAGGGAAGCTTTGCCAAACCACATTGCGTTGAGGCCCAGTGAGTCACTGCTTTTCAAGTCACTGTTAAAGAAGGCACTGTTGAGTTTGATGACAGGAGGGCCCTTTCCTCTTCATCCTTTCTTAAAAATGCTAGTAAAAGCCATAGAAGTTGTCACTCACAGTATTTTCACTTCTTCAACATTCTAATTGTGAGTTTTGCTATTATTTTGATTCAGTCTCTTCCCCTTAAAATCCTCCCTTAAAATAGGAAGCACAGCTAAACAAAATAAATTGACGCATTGATAGCATTTGACAGCATATGCCTCATTCCTCAATTAACATAATACGTTGCCCATAGAAAGTACTTAATAGATATCTATTGAAGAAATGAGTGAATGACATAATTTAGTCCACTACTGATACTATAAGCTACAGATAAATTGCTGATGTGTATTATTAGAGGGAGTTTCCATACTGGAACTTCCCTACGTCAATAAAATAACAGATTTGGGGGGTTTGTGTGTGTGTGTGTGTGTGTGTGTATGCCCATATATGTACAGCTATTTCTTGATTAATACAAACAATGAATGAAACAATGAAACATAATGAAGTTATAATTATGTCAGATATGGGAATTGATTCCAGGAAGACGTGTGATGAAGCCCATTTGAATGGCTTCCAAGAGCCAATTGTTAAATTTCCAGTGTGAGCATTTACACTTTGGACATCAGCAAATGTGACATATTAGGGCTTGGTTTATTGTTTTGTTGATTGTTGAGACTTAAGAAAGTAATGGAGAAAATTTTAATAATGCAAATGAAACTTAAAAGTCTCTGGTTGGCACTTTTTTTTTCTTCAGGGAGCTAGTTATTAAACATTTACTAGCATACTCCAAGTTCCAGTCCAGTGGAAATAGGCTATGTGTATCCTGGTAGTCCTTGTTTGTATTGAGGAATCATTTAATGTATCCACACTATTTGGGACCTAGGATATGGCATATGATATTAGCCCACGTATTCTAACACCAAACCCGATGTTATTTCCACTATACTGTGCTGTGTGATAAGTGTGTAGCCTAAATGCTGCCTCCTCCCTGCTCTCCTCAGACAGAAATAATTTCTCCCAGAACCCCTTTAGGGTTGCTTTTTTCCCTCTCTTATTTGTACTTTCATGTTCTGTATTCTGTTATGGTTCTATGCATGATATTATATATAGTGAAAAGACCACTGGGTTAGGTCAAGACACTGGAGTCCCTGTCTCTGCCCTTCCACTGATTAGCTGTATTACTTTAAGCAGGTCACTCACCTTCTCTGCGCCAAAATGTCTTTCTTTATCTATAAAATTAAGGGAGTCAGAGTACAGAACATTTATGGCCTTATCTAGCTGAGAATTATTATTATTTTTATCACTTCCAAAATTATTATATACCATTAGTAATATCCCTGTGATTCCTATGGTGTCTGTATGCTAGGCTGAAAGTCCCATAAGGGCAGAGACCATGTACTTTACTTCTATTTTTCTACCCCGTAACACTTAGCATGATACTTTAATTGTAGAAGGCATTCAATAGATAGCTATTGAATGAAAGAATAAATTACAAAGTATGAGGTAGAGTAGTAGAAAAGAGCTTGGGATTTGAAGTCAGAGTACCAGGGTTCAGCTCCTGGCTTTTCCCTTTATTAGCCGTGTGACCTTGGGCAAGTCACTTTTCCTCTCTCCCCTCAGTTTCCTCACCTGTAAAATCAAGAGTGTTGGATTCTGTGATCTCTAGGGCCCCCTCTCTTTAAGTTCTCTGAATGAATGAGGCCTGACCAAGTGCTAAGAATTGCGTTAACTCCGGTCTTCTTAATGGTGGTCTGTGAAAGGATGACTTCCTAATATTACTTCCTTTTGTAACAATTACTGTAAGATCTCATTTTGAAAGATACTCCTATATGTGAATGAGTTCCCTCCTACCCTGAAATCCATGGGTTTCAGAACACTTCTAAAATCCACCTCGTGGCGAACATTATCATCTTTATTTCATTGCTAAAAACCAAACTAACCCTTCCCCCACCCCCCCACCCCCCTGCAAAACAAACCAGGAGATAACCATGTTTGCACTGCCAGCCTCACTAGGCTATTTGAAGAAAATACTTTGTAAATTACAAAGGTTTACATGATAATAATAATGATGATGATAGTCTTTTTAAAGGAAAGAGTAAGATGTGATCAAATAATATACAAGGCGGGATTGGTTACCAATAGGTTATCAAGCCAGGCTGGTCACATCCTGGACAGGAGGGGCTTCAAATATCCATTTGTGCTCACGGTTTGTGTACTTTATACAAAATGCCAGGTAGGCACCGTGGGGAAGGTTAACAAAGAAGTATTTGTCCTCCTCCTCGGAGAGCTTACACTCTAGAATCTAGAATGTGGCCTCTGTCCAGGTTTGCCCTCTGATCCATAATCCTGTTTGGGGGGAGGGGGGAGTTCTTGGTCACAGAAAGACAAGGAAGAATCCGTGTGCTAAGCACCCTTTCCACAGATTTCTGCAATCTTCTCTTTACCCAAACCAACCCTGAATTTTGGGGGGAGACTTTAATGGGAAGTTGGGCTATCTCCACTTTTATTCTGGGCATTCCTTCAAGAATACTTCTTTGGGATCTTACCATATACAAGGCATCACCCTGTGTTTACAGTCATGTTGGTCCCAATGTTCTTTCTCCCATGTTTTAAACAAATTTGTTAAATAGCCACATATGCAGTGTGGTATGGGGAAAGATTGCTGGAGTTGGAATCTAGGATAACTGGGTTTAAGGCCCAGTGCTGATACTTATTAATTTGAGACCTTGGGCAAATGACTTAAATTCTTTGTGCCTCAGTTTCCTCATCTTTGAGGTAGAGGTGATAATCCTTGCACTAAGACATGCTTCTTGGGAGCAGTGTGAGAAAAGTACCTTTTCCCCCCTCCTTAATTTAGCGAGTTCTGAATTTAACAAACACCAAATCAAATGAACATTTCCATATACAAAGTTCAACAGGAACCAGGAATCTGTTATCTATAGCTTGCTTTTCCTTTTGAGTATTCATTGTATTCAGCATGTGACCTTCAAAGCTGTCCTGCTTGCCTGCTTTTCCCTCTGGACTGAGGAAAGCCCTTTGTCAGTGCTATAGAAATGGCAGTCACTTCAAACCAAAGCAAGCCAAACCAGAAGAATAGTCTGCACCAGCGGTATCAAACACACAGCTGCCCCTGGCCCTCAGCACCCTCCTTTTGATTCAAATATAACTGGGAAATATTGAAGAAAATAAATAAAAATACAACTGAATATAGATAATGTTAATATGTGATCTTCTAAGTCAATATGCAGCCTGCAAGGATCCTTATATACAATTTCCTATTTCTATTTAAATTTGACATCATTGGTTTATAATACATAATGGTTATAATAATGGAAAGGAAAATAGTGCTAAAAGAGATCAGACTTCAGACCAATAAAAAAAAAAAGACTAATCTCGACTCCAGTAGTAAAATAATACCCCATAGTATTACATAATAGTAAACATAGTAAAACATACCTCTTACCTTCCTATATCTATCTATCTATATGTATGTATGTATGTATGTATGTATCTATCTATCTATCTATCTATCTATCTATCTATCTATCTATCTATCTATATGTATATGTATATGTGTGTGTGTGTGTGTGTTCACACATGTATGTGCATGGGTTTAAGAT